TTACCTATGTCGTATTTAAACTAGCTTTTATCCTTAAAAAGTCGTTACGTTTCGAAAATGAATTATTGTCAATTTATTATCGGTTGCCAGGCTTATGCATGTTTGCGATGGCTTAGGGGTTCATTTGCAATTTGGTCCTGTACCGGTTGTAAGTGTGGCCCTATGCTGATAGTGTACATGCTTTTTTTTCTTTTTTTTTCTTCTTATTTGTTTTATTATACTTATACTAAATTTTATTATTAATTAATATAAGTTTTGCATTATGAGCCAATTGAACTCGATTGTTATTTGGTTAGTTGAGTTTCTAGTATAAGTAGAAATAAAATAAATAAATAAATAAATATCGAAATGTGCACAGTTCTTTTTTTTTTTGTATTAAAAATGTATGAATTAATGGCAAATGACATCTAAAGGGTACGGTGACTGTTACTTTAGTTTACAAATAAACATTGTTCTTTGGCAGTTAAGAAATTTATTTTCCTAATTTTTCTTCTAACAAGACCATCTAAGAGTTTTTATTATTAAATTGAAAATATTTATGTATTATGCAGTTATTATTTTGTAAATAAATATTTATAGTATTAAAACAGGTCGTCATAAGGTTTGCGAAGCAGTCGTGCTATTCTACCTACTCGCGGATGTACTGCTTTATAGTGTATCCCATCCGCCTGATTAGCCGAAGGGGAGGAATCTCGACTAGCAAGTCAATGGTCGTGGGTTCGAATCTCAAGTGCGGTAGAGTTTTTAATAAAAAGCCGATAGCCTTAGATGCTAGTGCTTTTAAGAGTTTAGTCTTAGAATTTCTTTCTCTGGCGAAATTAATAATAATAATAATAATAATAATATAGTGTATCCCATAAGCGGTCGTAGAAAGCTTTCTTCCGCCGTAGAAAATCGTCAATTTTTAGATCGGTGCAATTTGCTTCGTTCCGGTCGAATGATCTGAACTCTTTTTCGATCCCGCTGTCAATTCAGCAATTGTAAGAGGAATATGTAAAACGATCGGAAGCAGATTAACTAAATATAAAGACAGTACTAAAACAAAACTTAACATAATTGGATTTAAAGAAAAAATCCTTAAAAAAAGTTCACAATTGTAGACCATTTTTTTTTTATAGAGTAAAATGTTACAATTTGCCAATAATTTTAGAGACAAAGATTTCTCGTTTTCATTTCAGAAAGTGGATTAAAACACTCTTTATAGTGCTGTTTGCAAATCAACGCGTAGCGTAGCGTTGGCGGGGCTGTTTCCGGTAACCGTTCATATAGCAATGTCTTTATAGTAAACAGTATTTTCGCAATTTTATAGATATGCTCTAACCATATCATTTACTTGTGATGTTAGTCGCATTTCTCTGAAAAAGTGTTATCATTATTTAAGTTATTTGATAATGTATATAAAGGAAACGTCACGGTCCCCATAGAACGTGAGCCCTTAAACAACTGCTATCAACAAACGACGTTCGACAACAGTAACAGAGAGTAGAAAAAAAAATTTCAATAAATATGAGTATATCATTTAAGGCGAAAGTAAAACAATCTGGTTCCTCGTGTTTCAAAGCATGTTGATTCAATAGGCAATGATGCTAAAAAAGTAAGTATGTTTATTGTTTGATTTTGGCAACGGCGATTAACGGAGTACGGATGATTCGAATACGCGAGCATTGTGGATGCATTTTCTTGGGATGTGATTGCATATGGATATTGAAATGGAAAGTTATCGTGCATAGAGGACGTATTGCATTCATAAGTGCGTAATAGATTATGAGCGCAAAGTTTGTGAGCCAACATGTCTTGTTGACTTGTTGATACCTTTTGGCAAATATTGCAGGCGCACAATTCTTTGGATTCCGAAAGGCAGTTGTTATGTCTCAATAGATGCCGTTGAAACGCAGCAGTGTTACACACAACTTTCCCGCACGTATCGCATAAACACTGCTCCTTGATATGAGCAGACAACAGAACACCTGTACTAAATCTAAAAACACGAAACGTGCAAATAATTACACTTTGTGACACTGTAATAGGTACACAGTAACAAATTTGCTGGGACACTGAGAACAAGCAAGTGTTTTGTCTTCATCCTTTTGATGTTTCATAAGAAAATGATTACGCATGGACTTACGATCGGGAAATACACGACTACAGTTCTCACTTCTAAAAAGAAAAAGCAAGTAATGTTTGTTTTTATCAACAAAAAAGGAATTCACTTACCTATAACATGCAGGATTTAAATGGGCGTGTGTGTGCTCAACAAGTAAGCCATGCTTAGAAAATTGCTTATTACAACATCTGACGCAGCCTCGCACGTTGTGTTCAGCACGCATATGCCGATTAAGGGCTGTAAAGTTGGTCGCCTCTTCATTGCATTGTTCACAATGCAGCGACATAAACTTGGCACTGGAGTGAAGTTAGCCCCCCAAGATAACCCACATTTTTGATGGTTCATGTCTTCGCTAAAAATGTCTTTGCTGAGTTACAATTTATTGCGAAATGAATAACAATAAAGTAAAATAAGTATTAAAATTAAATAATCTTAGCGACCGTACACATATAAAACATACTAAGTCGCTAATTACGAACGCAAAACCAAAACTGCTTAGTTATTGCTAGTAAATCTCATGCAAAGGTACGTTACAAATGAGTACGTTAAAATCGTATTATAACTATTTTTAGACTACAGTTTTTTGGTATGTCTTAAAGGACGCTAAAACCTATCAGAAAAACCTAATTTCATTGGCCTGTATAGGGGACATCACCTCGAAATTCGCCAAAAACCGGCTCTCCCCATATACCCAAAACACTAAATTAGTGATAAAAAATTTTTAAGAAATATCCCTATCGCAGATTTTTAATATGTTTTAAAGGACGCTAAAACCTATCAGAAAAACTTAATTTCATTACCCTGTATAGGGGACATCACCTCGAAATTCGCCAAAAACCGGTCCGCTTCATATTCACAAGACCGTAAAAGCAAAATGTTGCAATAATGTTGCTAATCAAATGTTCGAACTTATATACATAATGTTTTTGTTTCATTTGCTATCGATACAAATCATAAGAAAGAGAAAACAGGTAGTGAAGTGACTGCTAAGCGCACGCACACGAACATTTTTGCCATAGCATATATTTCATTAGCCTATAGAATGTTTTCAACAAAATTATACGCGATTCATATTTAGAAAATTGACGACAACTCAATACCGTACATATAAATTCTTAAGCAAGTGTATGGACAAACGCGTTACTATTGCAAATATATCCGCCTAATGCATAATCTTAAACATGCATGCTAAAAAAAGACAAAAACATTATGTGTATAAAATCAAACATTTCATTAGCAAATATTTCAGGCCTATGTACCATTAATAACACAATAAAAATAAATAAAAAAAAATAATCACAATTACTAAGTAATAATAACAATAGTTAAGCAAAATTGTAATACAATAAATATATAAATATAATGAAGACAAATGTACAAACTCTGTAATGTAGCTGCGTGTATACTTTTTGTATACTTTGAAAATTTAGCATTCTATAATCTAAACAGAAATAATGATCAAAAACAATGTGCAAAAACAATGATCTGGAACAGTATGAAAAAATTGATATATATTTCGGTCTCATTGCAAATGTACCTATGCATACGTTGTGTACAAAGTAATGTATATAAAGGCATTTATTGCTGTAACAATTGATAAAGAAGAAGAGAGAAAATATATAAACGGTACTCTATGAAATTTATGAGAAAGCGACTAAAGGCAGCAGATGCATGTGCTTTTAAAAGCAAAGATATATATATGACAATATTTACTGAGAAAAATATTTTTTGGATAATATAGAAATCTTTTATGTTTATTTTTTATTTATATATGCATACATGCATAATAGTAATATGTGAACCGTCTAATTTCTCTAGATTTTCTGTTTCAAGCAAGCGTAGTTGAATATCATCAGAAAGATATGATATATGTGTATTACCTACGTTGTGCGCTATAAAGGAAAACTGTAGCTACTTTCCGTATTTATTAGGCAAATGCGTGCAATTTTCCACACCACCCAAGAGGTATTGCACTAGGCGCGTTAACAGTTATTATAAATGGCTGCTTCCCCGAAAATATTTCAGACCTATGTACCATTAATAATACAATAAAAATAAATAAAAAAAAATAATCACAATTACTAAGTAATAATAACAATAGTTAAGCAAAATTGTAATACAATAAATATATAAATATAATGAAAATAATAAAATACATAAAATAAGAAAATATAACAAAGTACATTATGTAATAAATAATATGTTAACGTAATAGTAACAAAAAAAAAAAATACCGAATGCAAGAACATTTTTGGCTTAGAAATATTACAGCAAAGGGCGAATTCAAAGAACCCTATAAAGATTTCTAACAATTATTGTTACATAAAATACAAAAATTTTTCCATTCTTTATAGTAATCGCCAATACATCTCTTACAAATAACTCTATAACACTTGCTTTTCAGTTTCGCCAACGGTGTAACAGTGAAGACAATCATATGTTAATTCTTCACTGTATTGCAAGATTTTGTCCTTCATCTGTTTTCTGTAATCAGACGGACGCGCCAAGTCTACTAGAGCTTCATTTTTTACAATTCTTTCTAAGAATTGACGTACAAACACTCCGCAGTTCGTCTTGTCTTTTTTTTAGATTTTGTAAATCATGCTCTTCCGTTCTTGCTATCCACATATTATTTACTTTGTTGTTCTCTATTGCTTTAAATTTATTAAATAAAACCGATAAAATTGCCTCTTCATTGCCTACCGGATCAATATATATAAAAGTTTGGAAAGAGCAAATGTAAAATGGCTATTGTGGAGAATAGGTATAACTATTATTTTATATTGCAGTAAGGTTTGTTTAAATTTTTCATTGAGGTCAGAGTTGTCGCCGAAAAATATTAACGCTCCTTCCATACAACTGAAACAATATACACTGTTAATTTTCTTATCATATATAATAATGTGTAGATATAATTCCAACACATTATTATATAATTCTTGTTTATTATCCAAGCAAAATATATCATTTAACTCCATATGTGTTAAAAATGGCCTCTTCTCACTAGTGTAAATTGTTTCAAATATATAATTATACTTCCCCACAATAACCCGCTTTGATTTTAAAAGTCTATTTACTTTCGAAAAGCATTCGTCCGATGTATAATTCTTGAATATTTTTTGAGATAGCATGTTTTACGTTTTTATTTTTTTTTTGGGGTACGTTTCCATTTGTCTTCGAGTAATATCTCTGTATTTTTCAATTGCGTCCCATGTAAAACTTTTCCTTCAACGTGCTTCAAGTTTATTTCCTCTGTCTTTGCTTTTATATATTTGTACGACTCTCTTACATAGTCGGTGGGTCGTACATTTCTTTCGCCAGCTAAATTTATATTTTTAACTGTTGAAAAATAACCTTCCACTGGACTGTTGGAAGCGGGCTTTTTAGAATCTATGTATGTGCCCATTAAATTCGTCCATAAGGGAGCGTAAGCGACATATTTTTTCAATAAAATATCCGCGAAATGCGGATTGTAAAAAGGATTTTTATTTTTATCAGAACATTTATGAATGACTATTTCAACTTTTACTTGGGTATATATATCGTTACCTCTTTTGTAAAAATCACTTTGGGAATACGTTGGTTGTTTTACGTAAAATTTACTTTTATCGTCGGTGTCATAATTGTCACCGACAGAAGAGACTCCCTCATCGCAGCCCATTAAAAGGTTGTTTTCAACTTATTAAGGTGGCATATTGTGTATTTATTTTCATATTCGCTACAGAGTACAATCAAAAAACTTGTAACCCATTGGAAGAACCGTTCTATATTAGAACAATTTGTGTATTTATTTTCATATTCGCTACAGAGTACAATCAAAAAACTTGTAACCCATTGGAAGAACCGTTCTATATTAGAACAATACATTGCGATTATCATTTGCCGCTTTATGAACTTGTGTTCAGATTCATTAAAATGATTTTCTGCATCCTTATACAGAATCCTGATAATATGATTTGTACATAACTGTAATATAAGAAAGGACGGTTTGCCTAGTTTTTGGTCTAAGTTTTTGAAGCAAGCATTAATATATATTGGCAATTCCATATTACAAAAAACCCATAAGATGGCAGTTATTAAAGCCATACTCCAATCGGATATAATTCGTTGACAAATTGGCCAACGTAAATTATTATCCTTACAAAATGTTTTCACATATATTAAAAATCTTTCTATATCTGTAGAAAAATGTCTACTTAAAAACGACTCGCACAAAGGGAAGAGAATTCCTGTTTCATTCTCTTCTCTTTGTATGTGCGCTATTATAGAGTACATGAAAACCCTTTTAGAATTAAACGAAATTTTCTTTATAACATTCGCTGTTGCATCCATAAAAAGTGTATGCGGATTTAATTTTTGAATTAATGTAAGCTGGCTAAGGGAAAATAAATAAATTTCCAAAGGATAACTTATTTTTTGGATATAATCGGACCAATTTTTATCTTGCAGCATTAAGTAGAGGTCTATGAAAGGATCGGAATGTCTGGCCTTCTCATTTTTGGCTTCCGATCTTATTTTTCGAATTACTTGTGAAGATGGGACCGCGACTTGTCCCACTTGTCTTAACTCTTTACTTTGTTTGCACAAGTATACATCCCTCCACTTAGCTGCCTTTTGATCTTTTAATGTCATTTTTGCGATGTTTCGCTGTTTACCACGGACTTGCGGAATTTTGTATTCTAATACCGGATGTGTAACATTTTCGCAATTCGAAAACACATCAAATTGATGCAACAGGGGCTTATAAACGATTTTATATTTCTTACAACCGTTATAAAAATATATGCATTTAGCATAGATACATAATTTAAAATTGGTGGAATTCCAATTATGGCTAGTGTAAGTGATAGAGCAGACATTATTGACTAATGCGAATTTGCGCCTAATCAATTCCTTGGCGTATACGATGAACTGCTTTTGTCCAGAAAATGTTGGTTCATTAAGAAAATTCTCCTGCATGAAAACGGTTTCATACCTTGTAAATGTTACCGTACCTTCACGGTATTTGAAAGTGCTTCGCTGTAGCGAGGAACATAATGTCCCCAAAATCACCTTTTTGTTTGGTGTTTTTGGGGGTTTAATTTTTTCGCAGATCTGTTTATATTCCTCGTCTATGGAGTAGTTTACTGTTGTGCTGTTTACTTCTAATTCTTCAGCTTGCTTTGTTGATGTTAATATACAGCTGCTAGCCGAAGAAATGCTAGGCTGACTTTCAGTCTGCTTATCCTCCTCCAGATCCAGAGGAGTGTATTCAAGATTGGCCTTCAAATTCACCTGCGCATCTCCAAAATCACTGTTGTATGTATTTTGATCTTCATCCAACTTATTACCAAAGCTTGGTAGAGCTGATTCACTTGAACGTTGCAGTTCCGAAAATAATTCCGTTTTGCAAAATTCAAGTAAATCTCTCCGCCCCTTTCCAAGAGCACCCCAGTTTTCACAAATTTTTTCTATATATTTCGTAAAAGTTATAGAATCCGCTTCCTAAGTAATAAAAATACGAAATCGCATATATGCAAAATCAAATAAGAATATATACACAATGATAATTAGAGATAAAGTTTGCTAAGGGTCTGAAAATAAATTTTAATTTAACTAGCAAAGAAACTAGTGCCGCCAAGCTTAAAAATGTCGCCTATATTCACCTATATCACGTGAATCTATATAAAAGTACATGTCGAAAGAGAAAAAAAAATGCAAAGGTTTTTTTCGGGAACCATATTTAACAATTTGTTAAAATTATATACTTAAGATAACGCGCATCGCATTAACATGAACAGAAAAAAACAAATTTAACTTCTTTCCTAACAGATTCAAATTCGTTTTTTTCTACAAGTGACGCACACGTTGTATTGCTCTTGCAAAGATCAAAATGCTTTGTCGTAATTTATTTTTTATTTTTCTTTTTCCTTATCTAACAGTAACCTAGCGCGCGCGTATGCTATATCTAATCTATATTTAGTCTCTTTAGCGTAGTCGTCTATGTTATATAGTGGGTCAATGTTTTTGCTGTGATTTGTTAATTGTGTTGGTGGCTTTGCAAATACTAGTTCATAAGGACAGTAATTGTGTGTTGTGGAAGGTGTTGTGTTGAAACAATATTGGAAATATTTTATCCAAATATCCCAATCATTCAATTCAGGTGATATATATGAACGGATGTACTCATTGAACGTTCGGTGGTTGCGTTCCACCGTGCCGAGTGTCTGATGGTGGTGGGCTGTTGATGTTATATTGTCAATTTTGAGGTACTTACATAAATCGTTCATTAGTACATTCTTGTATTCGGTTCCTTGGTCCGTTACAAGTGTTTTCATGGGCCCGTAGTTTAGTATGAAGTTCTCGAAGATTGCTTTTGCTACGGTTTTAGCACTTTTATCTGTGACCGGAATTGTCACTAAATATTTGGTAAGGTCGCGTATTCATTACCTTTTTCTGTCCTTGGTAATGGGCCTATGGTGTCGACTACAACTGTATCGAAAGCAGTTGCTGGTGTTGGGGTTATGGTCATTGGGGTTTGGGTATAGGTTGTAATTTTGGCTTTTTGGCATAGCGAACATTCTTTGACATACTTGGCTATTGTTTTTGTCATTTGCGGCCAGTAATAGTACCTTCGTATTTTCCACAAGGTACGTGTGATTCCAGTGTGACCCCCTTCTATTGGGTCATTGTGGTATTTTTGTAGAATGGTTTTGATTGCGGGCTTATTATTTTTGTTTATAATTGTCACCTCTTGGAGTAGCGCTACTCTTATATTTTTTAATATCTTATTGCCCATTATTTTAAATTGGTTCTGCGATACGGATTCAAAAATCCTCTCGCTTGGTGACATTTTGAAATTCGACAATTTTATTATACCGGCTTCTATTTCAAGCCTTTGGAAAAACTGACCTAAGTCGAGTTTTCCATTGGTATAAATGTCGTTTATTACGAATTTGGCAATTATTTTCCTCCCATGTTTCATGCAACATTTATCGGAGGCAAATTTTAATTGCACAAATTTCCGTACGTCATTATTATTAATGACTTTATAGACTTTGGGCGCCGCATTCTTATGTTCGCTTACATGTCGCTTTTCTGTGCAGTTATCTTTCTGCCGCGTTGCAAATCTTGTTACTACCGTATATAGTTTGCTGTTTATTTCCTTCAGATCTTTAATTGTTATGCGGGATAGGGCGTCCGCTACGTAATTATCTTTCCCCTTGAGGTACTCTAGCGTAAAATCGTATTCTTCCAAATCTAGTCGTAGACGAGTAAGTTTTGAACTTGGGTTTTTCATAGAGAACAGGTATACCAATGGTCTATGGTCGGATTTTACTAAAAATTGTCGTCCGTATATGTAGGGTCTGAAATGCTTGATTGCCCAGTGTATTGCGATTAGCTCTTGTTCGGTAGTGGATTTATTTGTTTCCCTTTTTGTGAATGTTCTTGAGGCGTAGGAAACTGGGAGTTGTACTCCGTTGTACTGCTGTGTGAGTACTGCGCCGCAGGCGTATTTGCTAGCATCTGTTGTTATGCAGAATGCTTTTTTGAAGTCTGGATATTGCAATAATGTTCGTTTTAGTAGTTCATTTTTTAGATGCTCGAATGCCTGATTGCATGCTGGAGTTCATTCGAATGGGACTCTCTTTCTGCATAGTTTAGTTAAGTGGCATGAATATTCTGAAAAATTTTTTATAAAGCGTCTGTAATAGTTGCAAAACGCAACGAAACGTCTTACACTGTCTGCATCAGTGGGATGATCAATAGCCAGTAGTAGTTTACCTTTTGGTATATTATGCGTCGTTTTCAGAGCGTCAGTTTTTAAAAGCTCTATATCTCCGGCTGTGTCTGATATCAAACAAACACATCTGTTCTCTCGATGTTGACTGAACATAAACGCCAACTTGTCGAATTGGCAATCATAGATGAATTACAAGTCGACTGTCGCATAAAAAGAAGTATGTTTTATTGGAAGCGCTATCCTTTTTTACGACTTGTTTTAAAATTTTAGATTAATTATTTGATGCTACAACGGCTTTTAATACCAATAAGTCCGAATATAGCCTTCAGACAACCCAAAAAATTAGGTTTCTGTTTCTCTTTGCTTATAAAATAGTACGATAACGCGGCTTCCAATTGTGTCTATTACTTGGGACTTTTTAATCCACAAATAGGAATAACGCATAATTATTTGGCTCCTAAGAAGAGTAAATTTTATGTTTCGTACTTGTATTTGCAAGATAAACAACTCTGTCGATGCTTTTTTTTGTTGGTCGCAACGTCTTAATGGATTTATTTTTTAATAAAAAAATAGAACTTTTTTTTTTTTGCGTTTAATCATTTTCAATTACCATAACATTCCTTTTCGTTTTCAGCCAAAGTTTGCAACACTGTCTGACTTTCAAGAACTCAACAAGAACACTTACACACACACACACACACAATTACATTTAACATGCTCACTCCAGTTATTACGGCCGCTCTTTTTTTTTTGTTACGTTTTATACATAATCGTGACTAAAAATTACAACAGTTTATTATTTGAACATATAAACCACAAATCTATTGGCTTGGTCCATCTCTGTTCAACATACCAAAAAAAAAAGAAAATAAAATTTGATCAAGAACTGAGCCTGTAAGAAAACATGAGTGACCAGTTTGAAACTGCTAATAAAAGCGACACTAATTTGAAGAATCAAAGTGATGGCATGCATTTAATAGTCGAATCAACTTATCAATTGTCCACGCTGAAGCAGCATATACAGCAATCATGTTTGGCGGAAAAGTGTAAATTTTTAGAAGACTGTGATAAGATTGACGAAGTATATAAATAATACGCCTCATAACTATTGCAAATAAATTAAAAATATTTCTTTATTATTTTAGATATGTCGAAGATTTTTAAATTTATTAAAAGAAGAAGAATTAAATTTGGATGAGATTACCAATATATTTGTGGCTGCTTGTATGTGTTATTACATTCAACCAACGACAGAGAATATTGATTGGCGTTCTCAGTTTCTTCAAAAAGCTTTTCAATATGTGGATACATTGAGTCCTCTGCACGTTAGTATAATGATGTTAATTAAAAAAATATAGACCAATTAGAAAATATTTGTTTATTAGCTACATGTAGCATCTAAACGGTTATGGGAGGCTTTAAAAACAGATGGAATCGAGTTTGTTTTTAATTTACTCTCTTTAAGTCATCGCATTTCCATTGCTAGCGAAACTGGTCGGGCTATAGCTATTTGTTTGATCTGGGCCATTTTGTGCGAGATTACCGAAAATACTATTGAAATGTATTGTTTTCACGAATTTCATGATCTTGTTAAAATGCTCAATGAGATTGACGAGTCAATGCTGCAAATGGAGGATAACCTACGCATTGTTTATATTTTAATACAATGTATTGGATTCCTGATTAACACTATCGTGTTTGGTGATAATGAGAGTTTCAAAAAAGCAGGTTATCGCAATTATTTCTCGTATACCAAACGGGACTTAGATAAATTAAAACATTATTTGGAACGTTTGAGCTCTCAGTTAAGCATCAGGGTCAGTCAAGGAGATAATCATTATGATTTACGGATGACGGTAGGTTCTCATTTTCAAAACAAGGGAATCATTGTTTAATTTTCTTTTTAATTCTACCGATTTCTACGATTTTCAGCTCATAGAGTATCTTAAAGTGAATACTACCAGCGTGCTGGAATGGAAGATAAGTAAAAAGCAATCTAAGTAAAGTTGGCTTTACGTTGTATGTTAGGTACGTAGGTAGGTAGATTATAATATTCATTAGAGCACAAAGATGTTATTGAAGCAAGTTGTTCAAATAAATAGAAATGTTTAACATCATACGGTAAAAATTGCACGTTTTTAAACATGTGAAGTGACTATATTCGTCTTGAACGCGATCTATATTATTCGTCTTGTAGTGAAAACACAATTAAAGGTTCGTTTTAATAATTCTTTATTACGAATGCTTTTACAAAGCACTTAATATTTTACTATCTTACTATTATTCTGACCTAACTGATGTATGGTCAGTATCTTTTATAGGAAATAACTTAATGCTAACTTAAGCAATTAATATAACTAAAGTAGGTTATCGTTTAATAACGTAAGCATATAATATATGTAACGGCCGCGAACAAACCTTGGGTAGGGTGTCTGTCGGTCTGTATCAACCGCAAGTATCTGAATAACGGCATGCCGTTAGACAAAATCATGCGATTTTGTGATACTGTTTATAAATCACATGATCTTGCGGGATATGAGTGTTTTATTCTCTTCTTTTTCCCTTTTTGCATAGCAACAGGCGAAATCCCATGATTTTGCGGTACTCCTTTTTTTCCTTTTGCTTTTGCAAGCATAGGCAAAATCGTATGATTTTGCGGGATCTATGCCTGCTCTTGTGAGAGTAGCGGCAAGCCGTTATAGAGAGAGCAACAGGAAGAAGAAGAGGGAAATTGAGTAAAAAGGAGAAGTCTGTCTGCGTTTTAAATTTAAGTCAGAGGGGATAGTTTTAAGTTGAGTTTAGTTCTAGTGGAGTTGCAGTGTAGACCTCAACGAGTGCGCTTGCTTTTCGATTGTTTTTTGATTGTACGGCTGAGCCGTGGTTGTTTTTTGCTTTTTCTGAAATATGGGCACAAACTGAAAATCGAAATTCAAAAAAGGATAAATTTTAATTAAAACCTCAAAAAAAAAAAAAGGATAAATGTTAATTAAAACCTCAAATAACAGAAAAAAGAACCAATAAAAAAAAAAAGGTGGAACAATTAAAAGAAGCATTTTGTGTGTGTTCTCGCGACGAAGAAATTTTTCTTCTGCCAACAAAAGTTTACAAATTAAATCCTTTGTGTAAATAATTGTACAAAATCTAAATATATATATATATATATATATTTATAGACAGGTATATATATACATGTATACGTATGTATATGCATAAGAAAAGTTCATAGGAACATATTTGTGTCTAATTGTGTAAAAGAATATATAACCAATCAACTCTGTATAACATAAAAAAAAAAAAAGAAAAAAAAATTTCTTTTTGTATGCGTGCTTTTGAAACAAAAAAAAAAAAAATAAAAAAATATTTATATACATATTGAATTCTACGATTGTAAAACTATATAAAAATAAAGGAAAAAAACAAGGATCAATGTGTTTGCCTCAATCAAGATGTGTTAAGAGAAAGAAGAATAATTTTCCAGTAGCTTATGAATTACGTGCACCCACATGCACCTACATCCCAGCTGTGTTGTGATTGTGCCGACGACGTAAGACGAACTTCCTACTTCCTTGCCGTGGACAGGAGCCGCCGAAGGAGACAGCCACGACATCGCGAGAGGATTGTATTGTAAGTTACTTTAGTTATTTATTCCCCTGTTGTTTTGTGTCCCCGATGAGTAGTTAAGCGCTACAGCTGCCACCGCTGTGCCTGAGAAGAAGGGGTGTGCATATGATGGCTATGTAGGGCCGACGCTAGACGACGACCGACTGACTTACAGTGGACGGACAGACAGCAGACAACCGACGGGACTTTTCTTTTTATTTTATTTTTATTTCTTTGTCAGAAAAAGACAAATACTCAGCCGGCAATGAAAGTAACGAGTCTCATGACATATATTAATAGCTTACTACTAAAATTGCACTACCTTAACTAGGTTAGTAGAAAAATGTAAATTTAGCAATAATTTGTAAATTACGGTAGAGTGCGACTGATCGATAATACTACACCTTTCCTCTTGGGAAGAATGATCTTTAACAATGAATGATCATTCTTGGGTTTATCAATTATCGATGTTATTGCCTCTACCGTAGTCTTATAGTGTACATATATTTTGTGTGAGGTTTTTATAAATATTTGTATATAAAATTTGTTTGTATTACAAAAAAAAAAAAAAAAATATTTCATTTATTTACATAGGGTTCTTATACATAATTATACTTTTACAAAACAAAAATTTTGTTTCTGTAGGTTTCTTATACGTACTTATATATTAAAAAAAAAATTGTTTGTACAGTTTATATTTTTATTTTGTGTGTGTGTAGTTTATATTTATATTTTTTGTGTAGGTTATATTTATATTTTTTTAGTGTAGGCGCCTTACACTTAGGTAACTCATGAAGCTTCGTGATATAATTTTAACCTATTTTTGTGTGTGATTTGAGTTTTATTTTTATTGTCTATTATTTTAATATTATTATTATCCTTAATTTCTATGACCTTATACGGTCCTAAATACTTATTCAGTAACTTATGCCCTACTTCATTTCTTAGGAGTACTAGGTTGCCTACTACTAGTGGTAAATTGTTAGTTTTCCTGTCGTAATTTATTTTTTGTTTTTCTTTTTCCTTATCTAACAGTAACCTAGCGCGCGCGTATGCTATATCTAATCTATATTTAGTCTCTTTGAATTTTTTCCAATTTTTCATGTTTTTCATTGATTTTTTATCAATTTTTCATTTTTTTCATTGATTTTTTATCAATTTCTCATTTCTTTCTTTCCAATTACATTTAAGCTACATTCATTTAATATACATTAATTATACAAATTAAACAAATTTTTCATCGATTTTTTATCAATTTATCGTACCCCAAATTGATTTTTTGCCAATTTTTCATGATTTTCATTGATTTTTTATCAATTTTTCATTTTTTTCATCGATTTGTGTTTATCTTACATTTTACTTTACATTATGTGATTCGTAATTGGGCTTTATACCGTACATTATTTGTAGGAAATGAAAAACAAGCACCATTTTGAGAACGTTTGGAGGAAAGCCTTTCACATATAGGCCTATATCTCCAGTAACGTATTGTAATTTCTTTTGTTTTGGTACTAAAATTTTGCGAAGTTTATTTTACTCAACTAAATAAAAAAGTAAGCAAAAAAGGAGAAAGGTAAAATGAGAAAAAAATTAAATTTAAATATTCAAAACTTTTCAGATATTTGATGTGGTCTTAAATCGTCGTCATGTTATAGTGTCTGAATTGGACATATTCGCTGAAGCGGGTGACGGCACTGCCCATCTTGAATACGTCTTTTTTACAGTTATCTTGGATAAATCTAAGTACAAGGAGGAAGTGTCTAATAACTTGGTACGTTTCGATTTCATGAAGGGTCCTTACGACAATCCGAAAATGAATGCTTCCATATTATTGAAAAGAGACGTTCAACGTATACCATGGCTAAAGTCTTTACATAAAGACACTTTCTATCGGGATATAGACGACAGTGCTTCCATTAGAGGCGCGAATAAAAAGAAGATCCTTAATGGCCAACATAGAAAATTAGTTTCCAATGGAGAAGATACCGAAACGGATGAGTATCCAGAGAAATTACCAACACTGGATAATGCAGAAAATATTAACGATGAATTCCATGAATTACTTTCGAAAACAGAAAGCCCTCGTAACCCAAGCGGTCCGCGACAAACGGGCCCATATTCGATGGACGATTCTACATTACTTTTACCAGTATTTATAGCTATTGGAGCATTTATTCCGTTATTGTTTTGTTTGTGTAAACTTTAATTTAAGGAAACGTTGAATTCCTAGTAACAAATTGCTGCGCTCACTACATTTGTTCTGTACTATCTCCTATTTATTTTCATATTTCGAAATTGTCTTTCCTCTTTTTTTCTATCCTTGCTAGATTAACTGTACATTAAATATTAAACATGCACAAGAGTAGTGTTAGTGTTATCCATTAAACATGCATAAGAGTAGTGTTAAGTTTTGAGCCTTTTTTTGTTTTTTTTTTCCTTTTTTGAACTTTGTTTTCAGGTACTTAGTATAGTGCAAAGTAGGAAAACATAGGAAATAATAATTGTAATACTTTTCTATTCATAGGAATTACCATAAACATATGAATTGGTTTTAATTTTGTCATTTAGCCTACTTTGTGAAGTAACTTCTTTTTTGTTGTTGTAAAGCATTACCTTTTTTACAATCAAATGCGAAGTATATCGAAATGTGCACAGTACTTTTTTTTTTTTTTTGCATTAAGAATGTATGAATTAATGGCAAATGACATCTAAAGGTTACGGTGACTGTTACTTTAGTTTACAAATAAACATTGTTCTTTGGCAGTTAAGAAATTTATTTTCCTAATTTTTCTTCTAACAAGACCATCTAAGAGTTTTTATTATTAAATTGAAAATATTTATGTATTATGCAGTTATTATTTTGTAAATAAATATTTATAGTATTAAAACAGGTCGTCATAAAGTTTGCGAAGCAGTCGTGCTATTCTACCTACTCGCGGATGTACTGCTTTATAGTATATCCCATCCGCCTGATTAGCCGAAGGGGAGGAATCTCGACTAGCAAGTCAATGGTCGTGGGTTCGAATCTCAAGTGTGGTAGAGTTTTTAATAAAAAGCCGATAGCCTTAGATGCTAGTGCTTTTAAGAGTTTAGTCTTAGAATTTATTTCTCTGGCGAAATTAATAATAATAATAATAATAATAATATAGTGTATCCCATAAGCGGTCGTAGAAAGCTTTCTTCCGCCGTAGAAAATCGTCAAATTTTAAATCGGTGCAAACTGCTTCGTTCCGGTCGAATGATCTGAACTCTTTTTCGATCCCGCTGTCAATTCAGCAATTGTAAGAGGAATATGTAAAACGATCGGAAGCAGATTAACTAAATATAAAGACAGTACTAAAACAAAACTTAACATAATTGGATTTAAAGAAAAAATCCTTAAAAAAAGTTCACAATTGTAGACCATTTTTTTTTATAGAGTAAAATTTTACAATTTTCCAATAATTTTAGAGACAAAGATCTCTCGGATTATGAGCCTATAAGAGAACAAGCCTTTTCCATGTGTCAAGTGTAAAACCTGTCATATCTTCCTTCTAAAAATACACATCTTGAATCAGATAGCATCTTTTAATACGTAAATTGGAAGTTTTCAGGTATGGGTTTGATGCCTCATGCAACTCATTGAAATAGTAATTTTTACAAATGTAAAGTACAGTGGTAAACTTGGTTCTGTTGTGACCGTCATCAGCGGCCTTCTCTCACAGCGGAGAGCTAGTCAATAATTTCGAACGTCTCCAACCTTTCTGTTACTTGAACATTCGCGGATGTGGAGATATTGTCGGCTTAACCGAGAGAGTGGCTCAAGAACGGGGCTTATCCGTTTTGAGATGGCCGCAACAATTGAATATAGTAAAAGCGAGTATACGCGATATTGCAAGGTAAACATGAATCATATCAAAATAACAAAAATTGGAGGGGGAAAAAGGGCAGACACAGATGAGTGTTTATAATTTAAATGAAAATGAATTTTCTAAATTGCATTTATCTATTGATTTAGTGGCATCTTTTGTTGATAGATTTTGTATAAGTTAAAAAGAACGACTTTATTGACTGTTTGTTAAACTAGCTTACAAGATTTCAGAGATATTTCATTAATAACAATGAAGTGATTATACACGGAGTAATGTTGATGCAGTGTATGTTAAGTTGGACTTTCTTCGGCTAACAAATTTTCTCTCGCCTGCTGCCGCTTACATCTAGGGCAAGGTTGGCGAGCATCTAAACATTCAGCATGGAAAACTGATCCACACTTTGAACACTGTGATGATGGAAATGCATTCATTTTGAATCGATCAATATATACGAATTATTAGACTTACCCTAAATGTAGTTTCTATATGGAAGGGATATAAAATGCGTGAGCTTTTGCATATTTCACAAATAAAACCTTTAACTTTGCACAACGAGCACTTTAAAATATGGGATTCACCAGCTTTAAAAGCTGAGTGCAATTGTTGATAAAGGCTGCCACGCTGTATCATAAGTAAGTCTCCAATAGAATACTGATGTATATGTTCGTACAAATACTCTTTTCCAAAAAATTTACGTTGTAGTTCTTCGAAACTTATAGTTGAACACGTACATAAATAAGCGCGGATAAAATTTAAACGTATGCGAAGAGATTGCATTTCTGCCATGCATTCAGATGCATTGTAAATGTCTGGATTCAAAACCTGAATTTTTAAGTTTACATGTATAAATGCAAAAAATAGCGCAATTTTTAATACCTTTAAATCAATAAATGGTTGATTACGAAATTCTGATAGAAATGTCGCTGCCCTCTTCGAAATGTAATGCTTCCGAAAGTCCCAGTTATAAATAACTTTTGCCGGTATCACTGCAGGTTCCAAGTCCATACAACCAGTGCAAAAATAGTTGCCGCTGAAAGCACAAACTCTAAAAGGTTAGAAAAAGTAAGTTATCGGAGGATGTCATATCTAGCAAATGCAGGGATCCTAACCGAAAATTTGAATAGCCAATCCCCAAAGGATGCTGACACGATTTACAAAGAAAACCTTGACTGTCTAAACCAGGTTCTCGACCGAGCTTGCACAGCTGCTCTACCATTTCCTGAAGATCCTCTATGTCGAATTTTTCTAATACATCGCCGGAAATAAATTCGAAACTTGCATCTTTCTGTGTTTCTGATTTGTCGCAATCATCGCTATCATCATCATTATGAATTTCCCCTGTACTGACGGAATTTTGTGTAAGGAATTTCGTCCAAATTTCCGTCCATTCAACTTCTCTATTTCTTTGATGCTTCCTTAATAAAGAATTATAACTACAGCGATCCGTAGGTAAAGAAGGTAACGAGCTTGCCGTGCTTGTTACGCTTGTAGAGCGTTGCATATTGCGATCTGCCACGTCTTGTTGGTTGTTCAATTCGGAGCACCATGATTTATGCATTAAACTGTTCAATAAATTTTCAGAAACTTTCTCATTAGGAGGTTCGGTATTCGGACTTTGCACTAAATATTTCTGAGAATTAGTTTCCTCTTCATCGATGGTGTTCATTTCGTCAACTGCTTGCAAAAGTAAATCAATATTATTGCGGTTGTTTAAATTGTCGGCAGGGAAATTGCTGCTGCGCTGGAAAGGACTATTTGAAATTGATTCACTGAATAATTCATAAGGACGCACAGGCTGCGGCATGGGTATGGCATTCGAATCACTTGTTATAGACCCAGCCACGTCAAGACCACTGGTGACCTGTTACAATTTCAATTTGACGGTTTAAATAATTTCTCATATTTTCTTCATTTACCGGACAGTTCTTTAAAGGCGGCGTCCACAGGCCAGACAATTGTAAAGCTGCATCCGGCCATTGATTTAGAAGGCTTGAGTTGTAAAACAGCTTGATTTCTAAACAGCACTCCTCGAATTTAGTTAATACATTGATAACCTTTGATAAACGCACTGTATCCTTCAGAAGAGCATACTTTTTATAGTAAGGACTCAAAGAGGATGAACTTTTGCTTATATTGCCAAGATAGGAAGAAAGTAGATTGTCATTTAAAGAAATGCGTACCCATGCACGGCATTGTCCAATTTCCGATGTTATTTGCGTCAAGCTTTGCACCTAATTTTCATGGCAATGACAGTAATATCGATGTAAGTTGCTAAAGAAATATACTGACTTGTTCAATAACTCCTTTATGTAAAAAAATTAATATGGGAGACCAAAAAGAGGGATTAGGACGTCGCTCTTCATCTCCTGCAATTATAGAAATTGTCTGCCAGAGGAAGGAGTCTTTTAGGCCATGGAGGAATATCGCCTCCAAAGTCGTACATAACGCACCTGTGCTTTCACACAGATTGAAGTCATCTGTTAACGATTAAAAAATGATTTCTACACGTAATTGGAAAAATAATTTGAAATATATTTACTTTTCTTATTATATCCAGCTTCATATTCGACCTCTTTTATATTTTCTTTTAAAGCGTCCAGTAAAGCTTCTTTTATAGCTATTTCTTGCTTACCAAACCATTGCTCGCGATGTAGAGATATCATAGTCGGTTCTAAGAATTATCCAGAGGGTTTATATGGTCACAAAAAAGGATTCGCTTCATAAGTTTAAACTCCTTTGTTTACGAAAAATAAACTTGAACACACACAACTGTGTTATTAAAAATCGAGTAATGAAGCGCTGTAAAATAATGTAATGCACGACCAAACTAACCATCTTGCAAAATGCAGAGTTTATATGAGAAGCAAACTAAACAACGAATTGAACAGTTATTAGATGTTTCTATTCCACCAATTTCTTCTGAAGTGAATTTGCAAATATATATGAAATGTCAAGAAAATTTTAAAAGTTTAAGAAAACCTGTTTATTCCGACTTGCAAAAGAGGTTGTCAAAGTAGCAAGTGTCTTTCGTGTGATTATTATTATTAAGAAAAAAATTGTCCAAAAAAGATCGTTGAACAAAATAGAAATCGTCTCATCACAATAGAAAACACTTCGCCTAAAGAATTTAAGAGAGATATTCATGTATTCCATGAATTTGCAAAATCGAATAACCATGAAATTGAAGAAAACATTTGCAAAAACATTTAGATATTCAAAGAATACTTAGTAGAGTTAAGCGTAGTAGTATAGTAAAATCCTAGATAATAATCAGTGGAAACAAATTTTCGTATTAGGCTAATTACAATCTCAAGCCCTCACACTAGAGTAAACGTATAATTAAGTGAATATGCAAAGTTCGTGGCTTTATTTCTCAGTTTATTTACAATATATATTGTTTAGAGTTCATTTTTTAGTAATAAGAAATCATGTTCTTCGTTTGTGAGCAATTTTCTTTCTGTCAATTTTACAACTCCCGTTTTTCTTCTTTCTTTTTTATTCGCTTAATCAGCAGTGCACTCTGCAATAGAGTGTAAACTCTTCATGTTACTTCAATACGGCAATGGTAAACATGGATACTTCCTTATCATCCTTGATATTTATGAAGAAGAAAGATGGGTCCTTCTCCTTGGGTTTTCCTCCACCTACCTATATAACGACATTATATTTAACAATACGTAGTAATTGTAGGGATTAGTTGTTGAACGCAAGCTTTACTTTCAATTGATTTTACAGAATATTGGCACGAGTTCTTCTTTTTTTTTTTTTTTTTTTTGGTATGTTGAATAGAGATGGACTAAGGCACGAGTTCTTAGAATAAAAATATTTCACACTGGTGTTGCCAATTTTTAATATTTCTCAAAAATAAATTCTTTTGATATTCTTATTTTGGAAATCCTTACATCTCGAGAATATTGTCAAAAAAAAGGTTTTTCTTACACTTACATTGGTTTCGTTTTTTCGGTTTTGCGCCAGGTAATGCTTTACGTTAAATCACAATTACTTTGTATTATAATAACATATTTTTCGAACTATAAGACGTGTCTTTTTACAGAGAAAAATGGACTCAAAGTTTAGATGCGTCTTATGATCCAAAGGTAGCATTAAAATATTTTTTCAATAAATTGTCTCTAACTTTGATATTCGTGAAGCACGTCAACAATAGTTCAGATGAAAGTAATACGAATGGTGAAATTCACGAGACCAGCGATAGTACGAGACTGAAGTACGAGTTATGTTAACAATAAATAAAAATTTTGATTCGAAAGTAACATTAAAATATATTGTTCTAAAAATCATTTTATAAATTTGAAGTACGTCTTATAGTCCGAAAAATACCGTACCTCGATGTGTACGTACTTTTTTCCTCGAAAGAAGCTGCGCAAAATTAATTAACTTATTTGGCAAATTTTTCTTTTTCACACTATTCTAAAATAACGGAAAGCAATCAACAAAAGTGAATCAATGATTTTTCTTCCTCTTCAGCAACAATTTTTTAAATTCAGAGGTTGATTTTTAAGAATGTTCAGAAAATTTACAAGTAGCTGCAACGTCAATAAGCTGCAAGATGATTTATTAAGTTTTCGTTAGTAAATTCTTTTTTGAAGCAGTTTCAGCTTGTCGTCCTATTTGGTTTTACTTCATTCTTTATATATTAACTTATACGGTATTTTCCAACGCCGCATAAGCAACTTTCTACTAGCAAATCAAAAATCAACTCCGCCATCAAACGATAATCAAAAATTCTGTAAATCTATCGGCAACAATGTTTTCTATTAAATAGTGCAATCAGATAGATCTCCAAGTGCATAGTTTTTATGAAATAATATATAAGTTTTAATAAAAATGTAAAATTTTAAACAAAAATTGTTTAAAGTATACAAGAACGTACAAGTTCGCTAAGTAAAAGCTTGCATACAACATTTATATACAATCGTTCTGCAACGATAAAGAAAAAATTCTTTAATTTTCGGTAAGGCAAAAACTAGGAAGGGAATGTGTATGTATATAAAGATGTGGGTTGGGATATTTTAAACAAATATTATTAAAAAAAAAAAATTAAAGCAGCTTTTTTCGAAAGTAAAGGAATTATTTTAGTTTATTTGAGCTAATCTTGTGCAACAAATTTGACGCTACAATGTAGCTAGTAGAAAGCAAAAATTCGGATATATATGTGCGTGCAATTATGTTACGGGTGGCGGTGATTCACACCTCTAGTACTCTAGATGTCGTAAATAATTTTAATATTTCCATCTTTTAGTTACAAATTCGTTTTGCGATGAACGTTGTCTCATGGCCGAGAAAATTAAAAACTTCAACTTGAAAACTTGTGGCGGCTGTCTAAACGATCTGCAGCAAGATGAAAAATTTATTGTTGGCTTGGGACAGCAATGGCATAGCGATTGTTTTTGCCGTGCTGTTCATAATTGGTATTTTGAAAAGGATGGTGTCCTTTTTTGCAAGGAGGATTACGTTCAGCGCTTCGGAGAAGCATGCCAACAATGTAATACCATTATATCGGGGCCGATAATGGTGGCAGGCGATCATAAATATCATCCTGAATGCTTTTGTTGTACATCGTGTAAAACATTTATCGGTTATGGAGAATCATACACGCTGTTGGAACGTTCTAAGCTTTATTGTGATCCTTGTTACAACAAGCAAATGCTACAACCTGTTAAAGGGAATGATTCCTCTCGAAAGCCTTTACACGCTATACGATTGGTAGAGGTACCAAGAGACGTTGCACCTAGCTTACGTTTATCTGTTGACACTGTTAGTCATTCAAGTTGCGGCGACAATCTGCAAAATTGTGCTTGCAATTTGGCTACTTTCGATGCCGTTGGGTTAGGTAAAATGTCATCAGGCAGCAATACCACCGAACTATTCCCAGCTGTTCGTATATCTGAGTATGTATCATTCATTTACTTTTGATGTAACAAACAACAATTACAAATAAGCTTAACGATGAGAAATGCTTACTATCAGTTTCTTACTTGCGCTAAATATAAATTTGTAATCACCTAGTATTAACGAACACGCACACATGCAATTAACTTTGTACGACCTATTACTAATAAAACTCTCACTCATTTTCTCTCGAAATGCTCGTTTTTCGATTCGCCTCTTGTAAAGACTCATTTGTAGAATATACGGACGTGTTGGAAAATACGTTTTCTCTCTAATAACATCGGTGATCGATCAATGTTGTGGGGCGTATAGGTAAAGTTTCTTTTTAACTATTTTAATCCTGCCAGCTAACTTTACTTATTAGGTGCATTTATTGATTGGCAATTTTTCCCCTTTGCAATTACACGCTCATATACAAACACTCTGATTAAAAACAGAATCGATGTAAATCTTACGAACTTACACGTGGGCGATCGCATATTGGAAGTGAACGGCACGCCGGTCAGTAATAATTCAATAGAACAGATTGACAACTTGATACGTAGCACTGAGAAAATTCTACAATTAACAGTCGAGCATGATCCTGTGCAAGTGTGCCGGAGTTGTAGTAACATAGATATCAAAAAGTTGACCAGCGAATTGTCTCTACCCTTGGCTACATCGGCTTCCAGTGTGGAAGTATTTGGCCGTGAATTTAATAAATCTCAACAAGAGTATGTTGATCCAAAATTAACCAAAAAGGATAAAGAACGAATTTATAAACGCAAAGATGAAGGTTACATTAGCGGCACAAAAACCCGTCAATTAAGAAAGTATAAAAATTTAAGTATGATGATTGCCAATGAACATGATGAACTTCATTCTATACCGGCCGGCAAGGTCGATAGTACCAAAACATTACTTCGGGACAAAGAACGATGTTCGAGTATGTCCAAATTAACTGGGGAACGCCATGTAGGCAGCACCGAACAAATGTACGATTTGTCTAGGACTAGGTCATTTCGGGTGGAACCAAAGCCCCAACGCATTTTTCGCGCTGCTGATTTAGTTATAGGGGAGCTTTTGGGTAAAGGTTTCTTTGGTCAAGTTTATAAGGTAACACATCGTTTGACTAAAGAAGTGATGGTGTTGAAGGAACTGTATCGGGTGGATGAGGAAGCTCAACGTAACTTTCTCAAAGAGGTGGCAGTATTACGTTCTTTAAATCACCCTAATGTTCTTAAGTTTATTGGAGTTTTGTACAAAGAAAAAAGGTTACACTTGGTGACCGAGTACGTGGCAGGCGGTTCATTAAAAGAACTCATACATGATTCTGGTTTACCGTTAAGTTGGACAGAACGCATTTCTTTTGCTAAAGATATTGCTTGCGGAATGAGTTACTTGCATTCCAAAAATATTATTCATCGTGATTTAAATTCTTTGAACTGTCTAGTGCGTGAAAATCGTACTATAATTGTAGCTGATTTTGGTTTGGCTCGGATAATCACCACGCCAACAATCAAATGGTGTGGTGGAATTCCAGATTCGCAGGACTCGAAATCTAATACGTTAACACGTAGTAAGAGTAGGCAACGACGCCAGCGTTACACAGTGGTGGGTAACCCTTACTGGATGGCACCAGAAATGATGAAGGGCTTGAGATACGATGAGAAAGTGGATCTATTTTCATTCGGTATAATGCTATGTGAAGTAAATAATATTATAAAAGTGATTTCTTTTTTAGTTTATTAATAATTTTCTTTGTTTCATAGATAATAGGACGAGTTCAAGCCGATCCTGATTATTTGCCACGTACTTCAGATTTTGGCTTAAATCAGAAAATATTTTGCGAGAAGTTTTGCCATCAGTGTCCAGAACCCTTTTACAAGATTGCTTTTTTATGCTGTGACTTAAATCCAGATAAGAGGTAATGGTAATTTTTTTAAAAGTAATTTTAAATAATCTCTAGAACATTATCTAAAACTTTTTGGGCAAACTTTGAAAAAATTTGTCTACAAGGTCTTCAGTCAAGGGAGACCAAAATCAATTATAATCACTTGGCTAAATAATATTTCCAAGAAGTCCAAAAAATTTTCTGAAAAGTACTTTTTTAACAACTTCAAATTCCATTCCCCCACTTCTTTAATTTATGGTTACAAAAAAGAGAATGGTATAAAATTTATCATCCATCTTATAGTTCACTAAAAGGTTTTGTTTGAGAAAAATGTAATCCACCGCGTCGTCACGTCCACCATAGCTAATGTAGAATTAACATAGTTAGCTTGTCGCATTCCACTCTATAGGTGCTTTTATTTGACACACACATTAACGGTATTTTACTCAAAAAAATTAATCCACTACGTCGTGGCGGCCACCATGCTACGAATTTTTAGATAGATAATATATCGTCACTTAAGTCATGTTCAAAATAATACTGAAGATTGTTTTATTACAAGCACAAAACCTGAAAAAAGTGAGAAAAGGAAATATATATTTTGTGGGCATGACTGAATTTTTTTGAATATCTGGACTTCCTATCTTTTATAATTTGTGAGTGACGGGCAAAAACACAACTTTTGACTTGCAGAAACGGAGCAAGTGCTCTGAACATCCGTAACTATTTTCAACACCAATATGCGTGCAGAAATTTCCAATGTTTTCACTAAGCTTGAAATCGATAGCTTCATTTTTGCGGCCAGGAGGATGTATACAATAGACGTTACATAGACGGACAGGCAGGTGGAACAACATTCGATAGTCTCCTCGATGGCTTAATCAATTCAGAATATCATGTTGCATATAGGGTCTCTAACACCCTTTGGATTTTGCAAAGATTATGATGAGTTTATCCTCATTCTTTGGTGGTGTTTATAATTACAGGAATTAATTCCTCATTGTAAATAAAATAACGGTACGAACATGACATTTAAATAAATATTTCAATGGATTTATCCATAAGAAATATTGCGAAGGGATTTACGTAATAACGCACTCAGACGCGATATTTTGTAGAAATGGGTTGAATAATGAGTACTTTTGTCGCTAACAGACCAAGAAACACTATCAATAAGACACAGAGCCTTACATTGATATTTTAGGAAAATTTCAATTTTAAAGTTACTGTCTGTTCCCTACAGTTTTATGCCGCAGTTTCAATCAAGTTGGAGGCCATTTATGTAGAAAATGCATTTATTTTTTAGTTGAGATTCTGGACGAATTAGCCAATAGAATCTCCTTGTTTTATAAGTCAAGCTGCTTACGTTGAAATTTTATACGACTTTTCAGTGTTAATCTTCGGTCTATATGTAGGCCAAGGTATTTTACATGGATGCCAATAGGGAAGGTAAAGGTCAAAGGCTCTTATTTAGCGTAGACTTTTTGGCATATATTCTCATATTGCATTTGTCCGGAATCATGGGATTTCATGGGATTGCTAGAATTGAAAGAAAAATAGAATTGCTGTGTCATTAGTGTTGTCAGCAATCGGAAAATCTGAAGTGAAAATTGTATGAAGTATTGTATTTAGGACGCTTACTTAGAGCGTCCACCTTCAACTTGCTATGTATTGGATAATTGTCTGCTTTGCAAATAGGATTTAAGCAGCAAATGCCTGGTTGGAAGACATTTAAGTTTGAAAAGAATCCAATTATGTAAGACTTTATCGAAGACCTTCTCTCAATTTAGGAATATATCGTCATAATAATTTTTACTTTCAATGGCCTCTGTCACGTACAACACAATATGATGACGTTGCCCAATGGTGCCATGTGTTCTGGTCAAGCCGAACTAGTGCTCAGAAATAAGTAACAAAGGTTACTTAGAGCAAAGGCTCTAGAACTGGGAATAATCTTCATAGATACATTTACTTAAAACATCTTAGAAAAACCAAGCCAAGAAAAGTAAACTGGTTGGTCTATGCGAGCTTACAACAGTTTCTGGCTTAATAGGCTTAGGTACCATAATTATTTCTGCGCATTTCCATTGAGGTGGAAAATAATTCATTCTTAACGTATTGTTAAAAGTTTAAATGTTTAAAAATGAATATTTTTCTAGGCCTTCATTTGATGTACTCGAGCTTTGGCTGGATAGTCTGAAATCCTCTGTGATCTCGAAACAATTAATGCCAGAAGAATTATTGTACGATATCGAGAATTATAAAGGTTTTAGTATTAGTTCAACACCAGTGGATCTTCTAACACCAAAATCCAATCTCAGCCGAGAAAATTTGGATGAAGTTGAAAGTTTACCGTTCACACCACAATCTTTGCCAACGATTGTCACAGAAGCCATTAACGATACAGAAGTCAAATGTTGTGCTCTAAACTTGCCCGATGATATCCCGAAATCACCTCACTTAGGTAAAGATTTTTCACCCACCGGCGAACGTATCCATAATAGCATGCGTGCTAAAAGAAGGCAACGTTTTCTTCAAGCACAAAATGCTGGCTTAACAGATGTGGAAGAAATTAAACTTGGCGTAGAAAGTAATGGCAAAGCGAATTATGTAGAGAAAGGTTTTCTAATTAACTTCAGTCAAGATGGCGATTTACATTTGAATAATGTAGAAAATTTGAATAATTACTCCGATTTAGACTCAAGCTGTGAAACCAGTCTTACTTACCAAGAAATAGATCAGATTTCAAACGCTGATCAAGTGGATGAAGTTAAGGGTGAAAATACAATATTAGAACAACCGGCAGAGAACTCGATTGAGACTGTGCGTCCGCGAAGCGACAACACCCCTGCTAAAAGTGCGCTTAATGATAGATCCTACAGAAATGCTTTAGACGATATACGTGTTCGTTTAAATTTATGTAAAGCACGCATTGATAATATTGATGAAGCAAATCGCAGAAATTTCTCAAATTCCCAAACAACAATGCGATCGGTGTTCAAAATGAAGGAAGAAATTTGTAAATCCCCACCACAATCCATAAAAATGTTTGAACGTTTTAAAGGTTTGCCTTCAGTAAATTTTGCGTCTCCTGGAAACGCTAGTACAGAAATTAAACACACTTACCGTGTTAACCAAACTCCAGTATTTGGACGTAAAAAATTTACAGAAGTCGAACCTAAACTAAAATATCACAAACCACATTCGGATTCTTTGGAAAATATTGATAAAATGGGAATCCCTCAGCAACGGCTGGACGGCAAAAGCTCACCAAAACGTGTAAGGCTGCCGAAAGAGGAATCGTTTAAAAGTTATATAGCTGAAAAGCAGAATGTGTCTCCTCCAATAATTTGCACTGCTCCCAAGAGCACGAGAAAAAAAGAAAAGTTGGAAACGGGGCAAACTAGTGTAAAGTTTTTTGGAGTACGACGTAATTTTAATTTAACTCTTTCACCGAAACGTGAAGTGGAAGAAAAAGTAGCAGCAGTAAGACGGCCGTTTTCACCTACTAAGTCAAGTGAGGCCAAGAAAGTTTCCGCTGCCAAACCAGAGATACAAACAAGTAAGTGTTATTAGAATATGCTCTGCAGCCACAATAAGAAATGTAAAGGTGATGAATCATAAATAGATTGATTGGGTACATATTAGTTAAACTCCCATGGCTACCGTGCCTATTCTTGTAGTATGATGGCCTTGTTAAATATTTGTACCACATCAATCCAAATTCAAAGTTGTCCCATGCAGGAATTTAAATATTAGATTAAAACTGTGTGTAAAAACAGGCAGTGCAGAGCTTGCAATGGGCAGGCGAAAGACAAAAATATAGGTCGAGTAACTGTCGGTTACAAATTGAATCAAAAAATTTAAAATTTTCATTTATAGTAGAAGTTGGAGAGAGAGAGAGAGAGAGAGAACATATTTTTCACCTCGAATTTGGTTAATTTTCAAGATGTACAATAATAAACTTTTTTTCTTTGTTTAAGGTGGTGTTCGTAACCGTAGCAGTTGTATAAAAAAAATTTCTCAACAAATGAATACGTCCTCGAATCGCTCCAATAACGACCGAATGCGTTTGTCTGAAAGGATTCATGAACAGAAAAAGTCCCGCGTCACTACGGATAACTTAACTAATTCAAATGTTGTCATGGATACGCAAAAATCAGCACAAGCACCACCAACACAGGTCTCACAGAATAATGAAAGCGCGGCCAGCACCAAAAATCAAAAACGTTTAATCGCGTCACGTTCGCAATTCTATACGCGATGTTAGCGAACTTTGCGTTGGCTGCCTCTTATTTACTTGAATAAGAAAATGTTAAATAAGCATAAGAGAAAATTTGAATGACAGAGATAATAAAAAAGACAAATACAAACACATAAGGATATAAAAATATTTTTGTAAGATTTTCTAGTGCCACACATAAACTCGATGATCCGCAGTACAGCTTTAAAAGGAGTCGTCTTAATTTTTTTACGCAAATAACAGTATTTTTTCATGTACATTCACATAGATGTAGAAATAACCCTATTAACGAGAAACAATGTAACAAGTTTTGTTTTATCTTTAGTTTTATATTTACAATTTGCTCAAAAACCGTGATTGTAAAAACAAAAAAGACAATATGTGCAAATCGATAAATTCCAAATAAATTATAAAGTGTATATACGTATATCTAAACAAATAATAAAGACAGTAAACTTATATATAGCCATCGCTAGTTTTTATTTTTAAATCGTTTACTATTCACCTTATAACACGTTTATTTCAAGAAATCAATTTAATATTTAACCAAAGGGTTATTAAATATTTGTTATAATTTTATCATTGCAGCCGATTAATAAGCAATATCATCATAGTAAAAAAAAGTAAAACCTTGACAAATGAGTAGCGCTAACTAGACTGGCAATTACATTTTTTTCTTGCGTTGGGGCTACCCGCGTTATCTTAACAAGACAAAGTTCTTAATCCTTAATATATTCATATATATAACAAGTCAAGCCACTTTTTAAGCTTCTCATGCTGGTGTGGACGAATAGTTTGATCAAGTTCACTCCACCTTGTTCTCGAACCTTCTTGATTAGCTGTTGGTGCAATTAAGAATCAATAAAAGCCGCTGTACGAACGTCGACTGCCTTTAACTCAATTTACTTCTTAGGCTTCTCATGTTGGTTTGGAGGAGCTCACTCCGATGCTGTTTACGACAAGTTTGACGTTCAGAAGGACGATTTTTACAATGTTTGTATTATTGGTGACTTGACTTCAAAACTTGTTGGCTGATGAAGAAGTATTAATGACAAAAGACAAGAAGATGCAGGAAAAACAAACAACACGATAACGATGGGATGATCGGCATTGGCAAATTTCCGAATTTGATTACGTGCCTGTTCTGTGGTAAACTTTAACGAGATTGACGAAGGCATTGAAATAATTTTAACGTTATACAACTATTCAAATAAAGAATGTTTGTGTGTTTGGGTCCATCGGTCCTATTGCTCGTTAGCACGATTTACTGCCACTTGAGAAACGATTTTTGGCTTCAATTCATGGGATTCAAAGAAGAGCTGCACTTGCTTTGAGAGCCTGTGCCCTCACAAGGGATTATTGAGCGAGTTTTACAGATAGAAGCCGCGTGTAATACTTCCTCTCATACGGGCATTTATGTACGGGGCATTAGGAACATTTATAGATATGTCTGTTTCAATGCATAATTTTCACCTAATTCTGGTGGTATTAGCGCAAGCCAAAACTGTGCTTTTGAGGACTTGGTACTAACCATCTTTTCGGCTGCTTCCGCTCCCCTCACCAGAAATTCATTCATTTCCGCCCATTTGGGAATTTCAATGGTTGTTGCTACAGCGCGGAAGTATTGTCTGGCATTTTCATAGACATTGAATGGATAAGGATAGGATCCCAACTGTCCATGAATATTTTTAACAATTTTAAGGATGATAGGCAATCATTCATGCTTGTTTGTGTTCTGAGAATATATCAATCCTTTTTTTTTCCCCCTCTTCTCAAGGGAGGCTATAATCGAAGTAAGGTAACGATTGCGCCGTTATTTTGTGTTGTTACGAAGACAATACAGTTTCTGTGCCAATGGTAACTTTGAATGGTTTATATAAACTATTTGAAACATGTCACGAAAGAGAGGCGACTGTTTACACCCTCCTTCAAATATCTCAGACGTTGTTCTATGTGAACTCCTAATGATTCAAAAGCGGATCGATTTATGGTCGGGTTAGCGATAAAACTTTTATTAAGTGCAGACTTTTTCTTTATTTGCAAAAGTTCAAGAATAGAGGTTTTAATCTGATTGCAGCTGAAAGGTCAAAACATTCATTACTTTAGATTTTCCCTGTTGCTAAGAGAAGAAATTCGTCAAATTCCAAAATGATTTCTACTACCAAGGGATCCCTCTAATTAGATGATAACTACGAAGCTAACTTTAATCCAAAGCTCAACAATTAAGCAAAGCTACTCCACTTAATTATCAAGAGGAGATAGTTGAAAGCTTAAGCATGGTTTATATCGACCAAATGATTCGCAAAAATTATAAAGACACTTGCCTAGACATAGAATAGACTTACCAACCCTAGTCGTGTTGGAGTCTTAACACTATACGTGTTTCACTATTTGTGGTATGGGGCCAAATTGTTTCTTTCGATGACCTGTACCTATTTAGGAGAGGCAGGTATCTTCATGCAATTAAAAGGTTTGATCCCTTCAAATAAAGTACAGCGGCTGGAAAAATGTCGTCCTATTCTCAACAATCTTGTAGATTAAATGATTTGTAACGGTAAGTCAGTAATAATTTTCAATGTCTGTCTGAATATCGCACTACTGACGTTATAATTTTTAGGTTTACTCTTAAGTGCCACTTGAAGATGGTCGCACTTAAATATTAATATTCACTTCAAAAAATCAAAAATAGGTAAATGTTCATTGAGACACTTGGCTGGTAACTCCATACGATTAAATATACCTTTTTCTCTTATATTAGCATTTTGTTTAGACAATTTGTTGCCCAGATTATTATTTCAGGGATTTTTGAACATCGTAAACTTAAGAGAGAATTAATTAGGCATGATCTAACAGCACATAAAGGGATTAGGTTTCCAAGTTTTTCTTTTGTGCTTCACTTTATGAATTTTTATCCGTTCCTATGTATTATTTCTTAATTTGAGTAAATGGAACTAAAGCGTGTTTTTTCTTGCATTTACGGGTAATTGTACTCACAGTGCCATTGAGAATTCCACTGACTCTACTGACTATAAATTCCAGTACTAACCGGTTTTGAATAACATTTCACATAACGACATTCAATACCATTCATTCAATGCCATCCAACTTCGTTCAATCTCGTATTGTTTCTTTGGGTTAGACGGATATTGATACTAATTTCTTTATTATTCAGTTTATAACACGTTTACTTCAAGAAATCGAGTTAGTATTTAACAAAAATGTTATTAAATATTTTGCATAAATTTATCGCTGCAACCAACTAATATACATCACACTTAAATCTTTACTAATGAACCGCACTAGCCAGAATGACAACAAAGCTTTTTAGTATCAGCTTTATATTAATAAGCCAGGGTTACCCTCTCAATCTTTGATATAAATAAAATAATATGATATCAACAGAAACTTTTTGGTGTAGACTTCTGTTAAAGCTTTCTCCAAATTGCTGTAAGCAGAAAATAAATTCTAAGGCTAAAGTTTTTTTGTATATTTTTTTATTCAATAGCAGAACATATCAAGATCAGTTTTCCAAAGCTGATTCTAGTAACACTCAAGGAGAGATCTCTTGGGAATTGCTACTATTAATGCTTCATACTTTAATCGTTTTGTCAGCAAAACTTTATTGTTGAATTTTCAGAACCGAATGCATCGGCCTCATTAAAATTCTACAGACTTCAGATCACAACATGCTTTACAAAGTAATACATGGCGTAGAAAATTTGCACGTTGCACATAACCCTAAGAAGAATTCAATTTCAATATTCTTTTTAAATCGTAGTAGTTTTTAAATTAGCTACATTCACCTACGAAGAGAAGTATTCCGTTTTTGGATCTCAGATAAGAAGATCTTCTCAATCGAAAAAATAATTTTTCTCAGAACCACGCCTCAACGGTTAATTTTCGAAACATTTTTAAATGAAGGGAAGTCTTTCTCTAAAACCGAATGATGCAGTTCGCGCAGTAGGTACGAGAGGTACCACTCGAAGAATCGCTGTTACACCTTTCTTTTGCGTGTCAAAGTCGTTGGTAATCATAGGACTTGGGATGTAACGATCATGCATTTCTACGAAGCAACATTATGTACAGTAAGCCGTAGGCAGTAGTCACCAAAACAGGAGACTATTTTACGGGTAGGAGAGTGTCCCTCAGCGTTGGGTTTAGTAAATTTATAGACATCTTCTCCCTTCTCTCTCACCGAGTTTAACATTTAGTTTCGCTGAGATTAAGCATAAGCTTCAACGGAACTGGGCGTTAAATTATCACCAGGATTTCGCCTGAAACTGCCTTTAGATGTAATCGCGAAACATTGTTTGTCCAATAAAGGAATCCTGTTTGCTGACAATGATGGAAAATAGGCAATTCTTTTAGGTTTTTATTTAGGATCAGTATCTGGATCCCGTTTTGTTACTAGAGCACTACATTAGCACAACCAAGAACACTGCGCCGTGGTACAACACAAATTAGTAAAGTTTGTTGAAAAAAAGAAAAAGATGGAGTATAGAAACATAGAGAGTCGTTGTATTCCCCGAATCAGTTTAACTTGGGTTGGGTTATTGAGTCTAAGCTAGATTGTATATAAAAAAACTATTTGATACCCGATTGCACACTACCCTGCAAAAGAGGATTGTTTTCACATTTCAACATTTATCGTTCTTTGGTGATTCGCTGGACTTGTTATCGCCGGCAGTAGACCGGGCGGTCTTTTAATGCCTTCTACTAACCTTAATGTAAATGGTCTGAACATTCTGCTAAATTGCTTGATTTTGATGTAGACTCCATAGAAGTTAATTTTCGAAGGAATTCGTAGATATGTGTGATGTTAGTATGTGATTTATGCAAACTGGTTAAGAATTTCTTCGTTAGCTTCTTCTAGATGGCGGCTTCAATCTTTTTCTTTAGTTTTATTTTTAGCAAGCCTTTATACTGATCTATGGGCACTCATGCGGCCGGCGACTTAGAGATTTGCAGTACCTTGGATTTTGTTAATGATAACGAGGAAGATGATGAACAACAATGCATTTTCCGTAAAAAGGATGAGTTTATTGCAAAAATTTTTGTAAATTAATTATTGTAAACCTTTTTAAAAATTCTCTCTAAATTAATTTAAGTTAATTTTTTTTTTCATCTAGTAATCTCAGAAGTTCAGTTCGCGAACATATTTGAAAATGAGGTGCACACACTCTACTGGTGTAAGAAAAAGAATTTGAGAATTTGATAAAAGTTTTTATTTGGAGCATTGCATCATGTTCAGGAAGCGGTTTTTTGTTCGTTAGTATTGTTTATTTGTGGCAAAGGCACTCTCAGGATATAAATTAAGTTTTTTTTTTTAAAGGAATTTATTAACAACTAAAACATTAATTTTGTACTATGTACGTATTTTTACAATAAAATACATATAAGAAAAATTTGTTTTTAACTTCCGACTTTTAGCAGATTAAAAAAAAATTTATATTTTGGACTTTACAAAGTAAGCATCACGTAGGCGCAGCAATTCATCGAAAAATAATAAAACCAATGTCGAGTGGGGAGCAATCCGTAAGTAATTTGCCCAAAATCCTTTGTACATGCCGTAAATACCTTCGGAACGCAAAATTTTTACTACACAATCGAAATAACCTTTATAGTATAGGCCACGACCGTGCTCATCTAAACCTTGATTGTATAATCGAGTAGTTATAACATCAGGCGGAGTTATGGCTAGAGACATAACAGATCCGGCAAATAGGCCGGCAGTAAACGAATTCAAAATTGGTTGAGTAACTAGATTATATTCTATTAAAAATTCCTTTGTTTTGCCAAATGTGGCAATTTGTGCACCCGAGCCCAATGACGCTCTGGGAATTGTTGCCAACGCGCCACGCCAAAGGCCAAATAAACCGCCTTTTTTATAAATTTGCTTTAAGGCGGGCATCATTCCGGTATGATGATGTTGATAACCGACAGCGATTTCTTTAGCTGCCTGTGATTGTAATTGAGTTTTAACCTGAAAAAATACATGGAAAGGATTACCGAATCGACTCATGTACATCGTCGTTTTGTAAACAATTAACAACAAAAATTTAATTGAATGTAATTATGTAATTATGTTGTTTTTTTTAGTTTAGTATTGCGAAAGCAGAAATACAGCTGACAAAATCAATAATAGCGAATAAATATATATATTTCAATGATTTTAATTAATTCATTAATTGATTTTAAAGAGGCTGTTCATTTTGTCCATTGGGATCATTCGTGGATCAAATTTTTTAATGGTCCAAGCAAAAGTTTTTACTCTGTCTACAAGAAGTAGCATTAAGAGCCTGTAGTGGTCAGAAAAGTACGGTTAAATTTGATTATTTATTGAATATATATATATATATATATATATACATTCCAACCAATGCAATAATTATACATTCTGAAGACTACATGAAAAGAAACATATACATATAAATATATTTACAAGACATCTGGTGGAGCTACCCAAAAAAGAAAATATTGGAAACATTGGAACAAGAAAGGTAGACAAAGATACCTACATATATACATATATATTCGCGCCCACATTTTCATATATACTTGCACGGATGCCTATAGCTGACACTCCCCTAAATATGTAAAGATAATACTACATAATATAATGCACACGAAGCCTGACTAATTTATCCACATACCTACAATACTCGCTCTGGCATTTACTATTAAGCTCGTGCACCTACGTACGTATATGCATACAAAACAATAAATCAGACATGTCAGGTCAACTATGTTTTTAGAAGAGAGATTTGTATCTTCTTAATAAAATCAACAGCTTGATCGTAATTGCGATAATTCTCATTAAAGATCTTACAAAGCAAGCATATAGGATTATGAAGCTGATGATTTGTACGACACAACAGCAGTTCAAGTAAAAGTAGATAAAGAATAAATCTTCCCCCGTATTCATTTGATCATAATTATCAGGCCTAGCTACACCCATCTTTTCCCAAGGGCGGACAGATTGATGAATGCTCATATGGTTATAGTTAAGTCCAGTATTATGCAAGGCGAAAGCTAAGAAGTCGTATAGGACGGATTCAAGTAGATCCGCATGGCATTTGTGAGAGGGCGCTCACATTACAAATGAATATTAATAAGAATAGGTCGAATAGGGGAAAAATACAGACGCTCAGTTGTAAACGAATCGTTAAATCCCTTCGACCGTCGTTTCGAAAATTCTAAGAGCGACTTAACTTTACTTGCTAAAGCCTCGACGTGTAAGTTTAATTTCAACTTTGATCAAAGGTCGATGTTATTGGACACATTTTCCTAAGTGTAACCAGCATTTGTATTATCAATATTCACTTATCAAACTCTCATCTTTATTGTCAGGAGGAATTTCATCAGCGTCGATCGAGCCCATTGGAAACACATCGATATTCATTATATCCTCAGCAGGAGCAAAAATAGGAATGTCGCCCGTATTTTTCCCGGGCATCGCTGATAGTATCGAAGGCGATGGAGAATTTAAATCAGGAATGTACAACGACAAATGCAACCTCTTGGAAGTATAAGCAGTGGTTAAGTTTTTTAGCAAACATGTTTTGAGGTGAGGGTGCTCAAGATATTTAGCATTTGTTTATCATGTCGTTAAAATCATTTTCCATGTCCTATCAAACTCTTACTGGGTTTGCTTCATCAGTTTTCACATGCCAATATTTACTCGTCTATGGTTGGGAGAAAAAAATGCAATGGCATTGCTTGACCTTAAGTCCTGCACATTTGGTTTGCGTATGTGTCACAAAACCAGGAAGACAAAGAGGAGTCTTCATTACTTTTACGCAGTTCGCAATTTTGATGGCAACTTTCCATTATTCAAATAACGTATCAAGGCGCTGAATACACGATCAAAGTAAAATATAACGGCATAGGGACGAAAATATATGTCAGCGTTGTGGGTAGTAAATGGCAATAGCGCGTAAAGCTCTAGCTTGAGATCAAAGTACCACATAATGAGTAATAATAAGATCGACTATAATTGCTCATCGACCAGCGAAGTACTTGTAATTCATCTATCCCATTGAATATTTCACTTTTGTCGCTATTTTTGTTATATATATTCGTTCACGAATCCTGTTTTTGTGTTGTTACTGTTGTTAAAATGATGGTGGCTGTTGCTCATTGTACCCTTGCTGCTGAGATATTGCTATCGGTGTTGCCTTTTTGTTTTGTTTACTGTTGTACTTGTTATTATCGTTGATATTGTTATTAGACTCAATTCTGCTTCTTATTAATTTATACAATGTTGTTGTACTGTTATTTTGCAATTTCAATTGCTTTTCCTTGCGTGGTTTGTTGTTAGATTCCATTAACCGGTGTTTTTTCTTTTGATATGTCGAGATTTTTCAGTTTTAAAATTTTTTCCTTTTTCAATTGGCATTTTCCTTTTATGTTATTTACACCATTTATTTTAAATGTAATTATTATCACGAGACACGATGGAATGAAATAAATTTTCTTGGATTTTTAATTTGAAGTAAACGGGATTGTCTTGTCTTTGTGAATACGGATAGTCAGATGTGCAAGTAAAAAAATCGTTATATAGATTTTTACACAGTGAGCGTTCGGGACAATGGCGCCTAGTTCTTCCAGGTTGAAAAAATTAAAAAAAAAAATTTTTAAAGTTGACTTGAGTTTAAGATCAGATGACTGCTATGCCAGTGGCTGAACTTGAATTTTTTTTTTTTTTCTTGTTGGAATTATTTCCTGGATTGCAATAGATGTTACAGTTGTTTTTACTGCTGTCGAACTAAATATTTGGTGCCCTGTTGGTCTCTATGTCTATTTGTTTTTTCCATGTTACGATATCTGCCGTATAAAACAAAGCTGCATTGAAAATCTATAGGTAACTGTCGAAAAATCGTTGCATTCCCAATAAGTCAATGTATAGTGTGGTATTTGGTCTAGAGATGTGATAGGTCCGCACATTTTGGAAAATGAGAAGGGTATGACCCAAATTCAATTATTTTGGCCTGAAATTGAAAATATGGATTCCGAAGATATGTGGTTTCAACAGGACGGCGCCACAAGCCACAAAACCCACCTCTTTTGGGTGGGTTGGCCCCAGAAATTTCTCGAACGTATAATATCACGTTTTGGTAATGGGAATTGTTCACAAACATCGTCCGATTTCTCATTTCTCACAGTCCCAACGTTCTGAAAACAAACATACACCAACTTGTGCCGGAGCTATTGCCGTGCAGACAACTCGTCGAAAATTGCTTGCTGCGGGATGTCGCGTGGAAGGCATTTGAATGATTTTGTTTACCACAAATAGTGGTAAAATCCAAACAAAAGATTGAACAAAAAATCTCAATCGGAAGTGTGTGTTATTTGCGTTTCACTTCGGGAACGCAAAATGAATAAACCTGTGCTTCTACCATCTTTTCGTTTTAAAAATAAGAAGAAATGCACAAATACTAGTTACGAAGATTATATGTAGCTTTCTAAAAGACTTATGGACGTTAATATCATTATATCTAGTTAATATTCTGTTACTGACTTTACCCTTCCTCACTTTCCTTGCTTAACATTTAAACGAACTGCATTAAATAGAGTTTCTGCCGCTCGGAGTCAAGTTAATATGTTTTCGTGTCTCTTTCAGTCAGTGATCACAGTAGTTTTAGTGATAATACATTTTGTTATTTTCGAAGCAATGCTAACCTCTGAACTTTGTTTGTTGATTAAGCGTTGGCTTTTGATAAAGAAAATATCGTTAACGAAAAGGATTTTGCATGCGATATGTGACAATGAATGAGACATTGAATGATCGCTACGCCATAAGATTCAAATCCGATATCAGCAGAGGGGACGCTAATCGGCGAAAGTCTTTCAAAGCGGCTACAAAGAGAAAAGTTAACTATGTATATTCACCGATCACCTTGAAAACACAAAGAAGCAATAGTGAATATTGGATTGTATTAAAAGTGCGAATTTGCAAAAAAAAAAAACGGCAAATTAGATCGGAGACTTATTCAGTGATCGGATGTATCCGTCGCAACTTAGGTATAGTAAGCAAATCGATTAATTTTTTGTTGTTTAAAACAAACATCAGGACTTGGCCCGTATTTTCAACGAATCTCGGCCGACACATCGGTGGACAGACATTTCTAGATCGATTTACAATTCGGTAGTGATCAAAAAAGCATACGTATTATAGTCTCTGAAGTTTCCTTTAGTTAGCGGGTGAAACAATAACGTTTAATTTTACATTTGTTAAAGAAAAACATTGATTATATTTAGTTTGTATAGCTTCAGACAATTAGTTCAATATTTTATGGAATATTAAAAGAACATTTCTTCTCTCTCCCTCTTATATTGTCATCAGTGCCGTGATAAGAGCTTGAGCAAGTTGTAAAAGTAAATAATAAAGCAAAGATTTAAAGTTTAATGCGTTAACAAGAATTCAATCAAACTGTAAATATATAGTAACATTAAATTAGTTTATAATGGAATGACTAGTCGATGGAAGTGCTATGTAAATAAAAAAAAAAGTTTAACGTGCTATAAAGATTATAACTTGCTGATTTCACTTGCTTTATAAAGTTTTGCATGACAATGTTACTGTTAGTTTGCGTCTGTTATGTCTTCTCACCATGAAAAATGGACTAGAGAGATAGGAACCAAGAGCACCGCCAGCTGCACCCCAAAGTAAACCCAATCCGAATGAAATATCACCATTTTTTGTATGCATCCAGCGTTCGTTTAAAGCCATTTGATAAATGCTTAAACTAAAATTTCAATTTCATCCCATGATCCTACATAACGGCGTTTTATGTATTAATGTTCCGTACTTACCGAAAAGAGTTGATTATGAACTGAAAATATAGGGCTGGTACAAGACCTTTTTGCAAACCCGCCCAACCGTCATTTTTCGCAACGGTAACGAATGCCTGGAAAAGTCCTTTGTAGGGCTCCACATACGTGCCACGAGCAGCTAACTCGCCTTGTAATTGTATGCGAGTTTTAATAACCTAATCGACTGAAATTTAGTACAACAAAAATATGCGAAGCAAATTACATGTTTTATAACCTCAATAGGATTTGTGAAGAAAGTAGCGCCAGTTGAAGCTAAGCCGCCTAAAACAAATTCAGATAAATCCATTTTCACTGTTATCCACAATGGCAATGTTTTACGCAACGCAAACTAATTAAGAGCAGCACTTTCATTTATTATTCTTTTTACTTAACATTACTGCCTTTTGATTTATTTACTTGCATTTTTTCAAACAGCGGACGGAATAATCTGATTCAACAGCTGTTGATGCAATGATGCCAGATGGTCGCATTACTAAGTGCATGAAAGAGAAGACGCAATGATTTGTTTTTCTGAACACAGTACCGTATTTTAATATATTATTATTATTACTATTATTTTAATTTTAGACTAATGAAGTGAATTCTTAGACTAAAAAAAATTCATTGAGCACTAGCAACACAGGCTATCGGCTCTATTCTAATATAAGATGATATGAAGTACCGAAATAAAGAATGAGAATGTATGTGAGCCATTTTTTCGGCTTTTGGTATGCGTCGGGGCCTTTCTAAACACCTCTCGAATAATTCCCCACGAAACTTCGCGGTACCGATACTTCTCGAAAGGCCGTATCCAGCAGTCAGGTAAGAAGACATTCACCTCGATAGTCAGAAGGGTAGTGCATCTTCGTACTAGGAGCATCCAATAACTTCATGACTTATCGTTCTAATTATAGAACTTATGCCTAGCTATATGGGTTTGGCTGCTCTCTTACTGTATGCGGACGTAGTCACCCTTGCCTTCGGACTCTCCACACCTCCCAGAAGGCCATCTTTTCTCAACGAAATAGTGCTTCCAAGGTTGCCGCCACACACAACACACCCAACTGCGCCTCAGTATTAAATATCGTTGACCATCACGCGTTTGATGACCTCCATAGAAGAGAAAAACCCGTCGCCAGGTTATAGATAGGGAACCTTAAACCCTTGTTTGCCGTTAAGTTGCGCAACGCTCGAAGCTGAGAGCCATGAAAGCAACAGTCAAAGTTTATAGGGAGCACCACAAAAAGATGAGGGCTTTGCCACATCTGCGTTCACCCAAAGGGATCTCCTTGTTTCGCTCCACAGTTTATGCCGAATGAAAGACAAAGGCGATTTCAAAACAAAATGCAATTTTATTGTTTTGTTTAACAAGTGGAGTCTATCTTCATGCGTCTTCTTTTCAATTCCTTCCCCCTCATTCTTTATTTCATTAATCAATCAAAAATTTAATGCGGTTTCACATGAATTTTTTTCTCTTTGGTCGTATCTATTAATATTGATTTCTTTAGTCTCACTTCTTAGCCTATATGTCTTCGCTTTTACTTACATTAATTTCCTTGTTATTATATTAAATAATCTTTTCATGTCCATTAATTTGATCAATCATGTAACGATATTTTACTTTATTTTCCATTTGAACATGAAGCCCGATAATTATCATCCTTTAGAGTTCAAATATGACAATTCGTATTCGATATCGAGTAAACACTCATACGCAACCAGCCATCCAATCCTCGTTAATGGTTGCTCGATAACGAGCATTAACAACAAAAAATGGAAATTCTTTATCGAGTTAGATTGGGAAGCGACCTCTGCGATGAGGAACAAATGAGCGCTTCCGGGTACACTAGCTATATATGCACTGAACAACCAAAGAGTTTAGCTTATGATCGAGCAATGCACTATACCTCGTCATTTTTAAAACATATCTGTTTAACTAAACCGTTAAGGTGACTAAAAAACTCGGCGTTTATCTGCAGTATGTGGAGCATACATTGACTTACTTTACAAATAAATTTTACAATCATTTAAACAAGCGAATCCTTTCCATATTTACATATTTTTAAAGGAAAACTGTATATGATGGTGTGAAAGAATGTAAAATATTAAACAAAGAAAGAAAGATATGAACGAGAAAACTTTTGCTTTACATTACGTAGCTTTTCTTCGTCAGGTTTGATCAGATCGCAAGGAAAGTTATATAAAAAAAACAGGATTGACTGTTGAAATGTTTATACCTACTAAAAAGTATATACTGAACTCTTTGCAGTTATTGTTTCGTTTGCTATATTTATGGCTTTGGTCGCAGACGGCCCAAAAGTTAGGAAATGGAATTATTTTTCTATTTCTTATCCGTGGGTTGCATTCACAAACATCGCTAGTTTACATTATCAAAACCAAATTTCAAGACAGTGAAATGACGTTATTATGTTGCAAATATCGGGCTGCCAGTGATGAAGATCAGGGGTGAAACCTTTTAATCTAACAAATATAACGAGAATCATGAAAATCATGCCCTTCTCTATTAAACGAGTCCATAGTTGTCCGCTTTTCCTTCGGGTCATATCGTAGTCTGCGACTTCTTAAATATAGTTTTGCTGACGAATAATCTTTGTGGTGAAATCCACATTAAAGAAGTTTCTTATAACATATTCAAAAGTTCTTTTCAGAAATCCCTCTCATGGGCAAAAGCAAAAACTTATTTTTCAATATGTTTAGAAAATTTTTGATCTGATATTTATAAAGATTTCAATTGATATATTTTTGGAAAAAAATTCTTCGACTTTATTATTATTATCAATTCTGAGCCAGAGAAGTAAATTCTAAAACTAAAATCTTAAAGCACTACCATCTAAGGCTATCGGTTTTATTGAAAACTCCGTCGCACTTGAGAATTGAACCCACATCCATTGAGTTGTTAATCGAGATTCTTTGCCTTCTTTCATTCAGGCGGCATTTCTTTCAGTTTAATGATTTTGAGAGCTAAGAAAATCGATCAAAGCAAAACTTTTGTACCCATCACCGTTATCCTAAAAAAGAAAAAATATGTAAAAAAAACTACAATTTTATTATTCGTTTTTTCGTATGAAGCGGATGTGGCTGATCTTTTTTTTGCTTTCAAAATAAAAGTTTTTGCCGATTAGGCTTGTGGGCGTTGTAGGCATCTCCTTGGGAAAGTTTAAGTCACTTTCAAATTCTTTTGCAAATTTGTAGGCGACATCTTCGTTTTCGCTAATAGGACAACTTTTACAACAAACATTACACAACTGCGCAAACAGACAGACAAACAGACAGACAGGTTTAGGAGCATTTCAAATTTGAAACTGCTAAAAAGTTCGTATATTTAGTGGGGTTCTCGAAACTTGTTTCCGCGCCTTATATGGTTATTTAAGAAAAATTAAATTTTGATACACTATAGTATTGGGTAGATGTGCTCAATTCTTTCCACTTTTGTACAGCTCCTACAACATTGCCTATAGAATAAGCGTTCAAATTGTGGGCGTGTCCCTTGACCGATTTGATCGACTTTCAATACCAACCCGCGTGCAAGGATGTCCAATGTTTCTGCCAAATATGAAGTCCAGGCCAGGAGAATGTTTACAACAGACATTGCACAGACACAAAATTTGATGCTCATCCTGAATATATTAGCTTGGGGAAAAAGAAATCCATTATTTTTATATGAACTTCAGGACTTTATTTAACATGCTTCGGATTGTCCGATTTGGGTCAAATATGCACCGTTTTGTTGTATGATTTGTTGCCATTTTAAAGGTAACTTCAAAATGCCTCTCTCATAGAAGTCCTGGTCTCTATTTGCAAAAAACTCTAGTAGTCGATTTTCACAATCCTCCCTAGATTCCAATTTTTTATCATTAAAGAAATTTTGCAATGCAAGAAAAAGATGATAATCGCTTGGTGCCAAGTCCGGACTGTATGGCGGATGCATTAAAACTTCCCAACCAAGCTCCCGAAGTTTCTGGCGAGTCACTGTAGATGTGTGTGGCCTAGAGTTGTCCTGGTGGAACACGACACCTCTCCTGTTGGCCAATTCTGGCCGTTTCTGGTCAATCGCTATCTTCAAACGGTCCAGTTGTTGACAGTAGAGATCAGAAGTTAGCGTTTCGCCATTTGGAAGCAACTCATAATAAATAATCCCCTTCCAGTCCCACCAAATGCATAGCAAAACCTTCCTGACCGTTTGAGGTGCTTCACCGCTCTTTGACCATGATCGTTTTCGCACAGGGTTATCGTATGCGATCCATTTCTCATCTCCAGTCACCATCCGTTTAAGAAATGGGTCTATCTCATTCCGTTTGGCCAAGGCTTCGCAGATAGAAATTCGATCCATCATGTTTTTTTCTGTTAATTGGTGTGGCACCCAAACATCGAGCTTCTTTTTGAATCCAGCTTTGTGTAAATGGTTTAAAACTGTTTTATGGTCGATTTTTAGCTCCTGGGCGATGTTACGACTGCTAACATGCCGGTCAACTTCGATCATTTCTCCGATTTTATCGACATTTGCGACGACTGGCCTACCTGTGCGAGGTGCATCTTTAACATCAAAAATTCCTGAAAGGAATCTACGAAACTAAAATTGCACATAATTGGCTGTTACAGTATCGGAACTATAAACACCATTCACAATTTTAGCCGCCTGGCTTGCATTTTCGCCTTTGTCAAAGAAAAACTGTAAAATGTACCGAATTTTCTCTTTGTTCACTTCCATTTTTAACACGCTGTAACTCACAACTGAATGCACCAAACAAAAAACAGCAAAAGAATTTTTTTTACTGCGAAATGTACAGTATGTAGATGTACAGTATCGGAAATTGTTTGATCGATACTTTACGAGAAATCTATCAATGCAGCCATCTACCGAAAAAATAATGGATTTCTTTTTCCCCAAACTAATATATACTGGGCGTTGCAAACGTTTTGACCAAATGTATTTACCCCCCGTCCTTCAATGATGGGTATAAAAACAGTAAAAAATGAATACGAAGAAGCCACAATATAATGAATATATTTCTTATTCAGGATATATGTAATGGAAATGCCATTAAATATATGTAAAACTTGCCAGCGGTAATAGTGGAATATATTTCCAACGATGTCTTGATTTATATCTATTAATATAATCCTTGAAAAGCCAAAAGCGTTCTGAAAACTGCTAATGATTTCAAGAAATGCTCTTCTCTTCTTTGAGAGCCCGGCTAGGAACTAATGTAGTGCATCTAAAATTTAGATTTTTGATTCAATTAATTACATCAATCTATTAATGCATGATTTTATAAACTTGGAAATATTTCCCGATTTACCAATGCATAATAGTATAGTAAGTAGTATATGTTATAAGAAAACAAATTTATTAAATGTTTTTGTTTATATTTAAATTATTTTATGAGTGTGAGATAGATATAAAGGAATGTTCTAATGGATTTTTACGACTT